ACCTTGATTTTAAAACCTGTGAGAGTATATGGAGCTAAATAGGTCTCTCACTTCTACTGGTATATCGTAATGCGACTTTGTTGACCAAATTATATTAGATTTGATCGATTACTGTATGCCTACACCGTTTGTGTGTTTGATAAGATCAAGACTTTTCATACGCTTGTACTTCTTTATTAGATCTTGACCAAATCTTGTTTATGTCGCTGTCGTTGTTGTGTGTTTTTTTGCATCTAGTAGACCATGCTTACATAATTTTCGTTTTTCAATTGCCTTCTCAAAAGTCAAAAGATTCATGGTCAAGTGCAAATGGAAATGGATTTAATTGGCTTTCGCTCATTTTTTTCCGAATACAATACCCCACTTTACGGAACTTAACGAGGAAACCAGAATTGGGGCATCAGATTTATATGGTTTACCAAATAATAAGCAACTACAGAAATTTCCTTCCCCCTTCATTCAGCGATTTAATTTGATAACCACCGAGTGCCGACATCTCCCTTCTGCACGTTCTGGTATTTTATTCATGAATACAAGAAAAGGATTTCGTGAATCGTTCTTGAAAACTTCAAAGGCATGGAAATATGATTGAAATTGGCACTCTTGGAGTTAAAAATTTGAATAAAAAAGAATTTGTCGATACTAAGGTACACACAACTTTGTCTAATAGTTCCTAACTTATATGAGAAACTGTTATATCACATATACCCCCGGATAACCACCCTCAGTCAACTACCCCTAGTACAACTAACCCCAAGGGAAACCACCCTCTAGGATGACTACCACCCCCCCGGGACAAATTACCCCGGACAACTACCCCTAGGACAACTAACCCCCGGACAACTGTCTGGGGGTAGTTGCCCGGGGGTAGTTTTTCTAGGGGGTAGTTGTCCAGGGGGTAGTTGTCCAGGGGGTAACGGAATGGCTTGCACATGCATATATGTTGGGCCTGTAACCATATTCTCTTTGCCTTCGGGAAAAAGAATATCCGGTACGAATGGCTTGTCAATGTTTAGCAATCTCTATCAAATTGTAAAAGTGTGGTCCACACCGATGAGGTTGCAGCTTCTCTGTTTTGGGTATAGTCAACTTGAACAGTACGTACCCTTTTTCCAAGGTCAAATTTTATTTAGAGAACATAATCCTCGATTAATTGTTTTTTTTAAATGGGAACTCTTCATGTACAGTGATCAGAAATATATTTTCTATAAAAAGAGGAAAAGATGGAAAGTATATTCTTTCTGGATACGATTCCATTCTTTACCTCGATACATGATGGAACAAAAAAAAATCCCACCGTCCATTTATTCCCTATCCTGCCTTCTGTCGTCATTGTTGACATTGTGTAACAAAATGTTGCTCTACATTTTTAATGGTTATACATCATGGTTCTCAAAATAGAATGTGGCAATTTGTGTTACCTTCTGTGTCAGTTGTCTTACTACGAACGTCCGCTGATAAATACTCGTAACATGTTTTATCCACAGGTCTCTCTCTCTCTCTCTCTCTTTCTCTCTCTGTCCCTCCCTCCCCCTCTCTGTCTCTCTGTCTGTCTGTCTGTCTCTGTCTGTCTCTTCTTTGTCTACCCCTCTCTCTCTATTCTTAATATATTGTTTCTCTTTCTCTCTCTTTCTTCTTCGCCTCTCTCTCTCTCTCTCTCTCTCTCTCTAACCTCTCCCTTCCTCTTCATTCTATACGTATACATCCTCCTTTCTCTTGGGAAAATAGAACCGCACCCTATGCCTCACTTTCGTGCAGTTATATCGGAGACACATTGCTATTTTGCTCATGTGAGCCTTATGTATCTCACAAACTCCCTTTCACATTTTCGTTTCCTTTGCACTCATGGCTTCTTGTTCCTGTTAATCATACGCTTCCTGAAAGGTACGTTTCATTATTTTGACATAGGTGTAGATGATTTTCATGTACATAGATAATGTTTTTAAAAGTCAATAAAAGTTTGAAGAAATATATTCAAAGAAATATATTTGAATGTTTGATAGTGACTGTGCAACATCTAGTTTTAGAAGGGTGAATAGATATATATTTTTATATCCTTTTTCATCTGTCGTGAAATAAAGTATCACATGAAAGGAATGATGAAAGCTGGAAAGTGTACTTTCCATCTACTGCTCTTTCTCTTCCTCTCTATCTCTTTATTTAAACCCATCTTCTCATAATCTGTATTAACAGAACCCAAAATGTTTAGAATGTACTCATCCACAATGAAATAATACATTGACACATATAAGCTCGCTTACAAAACTTTTAATAAACAACGTGAGATTTTTTTCATATGTCTCAAATATACATACACAATATCACTAGCATTCAGTCAAATATAGAACATCAAACAGCATTTTATTATGAAGTCATGATATTTCAACTCAGTTCTAATCAGCTGTTCAAGGTGAAGCAAAATTAACATTTATTTCATGTATGCATCTATAAAAGGTTATAAAAGGCTCAATAATAACATTTGGGGACAGTGTTGGTATAATACATGCTGCGTTCAATATGAAAATGATTTTCCTATATACCTACATCTTCCCCTCTCGAAATTATCTGTCTATCATTTTCTCCTTATCCTCTACCTCCAGCTGTAAGTCATTTCATGACGTCAGTATATTACGCACATAAGAACTGAGGTACGTCATAAAAGTAACCCCTTATCCATAATCCTGTAGACTAGAACTGGGCTGTTTTAGAGCATACAGGGCCTGGGGACTAAATTAAGTACCGTTGTTTTACCTCTCAGGTGTGACCTTGCTTTACTACCTATTTCCTTTAGATACCTGAGTAATTTATTATTTCGGGCACATTTTGTGTGTGTCGTGTCGAGCTTTAAACAGTCTCATGCAATGATAATGCATCTTTGTACAAATAAAATTGAACATAACAACAGGAAGTGAGTCTAAATTGACTGATATATGCTAACCATATATCATAATGAATACATGTATTCAATCCTGAAATATAGAAGAAAAAAACATGATGATGACTGAACTTTTGGCTACCCTAAAGTCAGCCGAACGTCTGTCACGTTGCCATCATGCAGCTCATAACCTCGTGTTCCCTACATGACCTAAACATTGCCAAATGAAGGATTATGGGTGGGAGGATATGATTATCATGGATATTAATTACCCCCGCTATAAATACACCGCGTCACGTGTAACACCTCCCAATCAGTGGCGCTGAACAACCGCGGATAAAAACAGGATCCCTCATTAAGATTAGCGTCACAAATAATACTGTCAGTGCTATTAAATAACGAGCAACCTAACCAAGTTGAATCGGCTGAATGTGGAAATATCAGAAAAATCTGTCGGTAGCAGTGATAACAAACGGAAAGAAATTCGAAAGAGTTTAGAGTTCCTATTTCAGAGCGACAGCAATGCGAATAGAGAATCCTAGAAATTAGTGCAGAGGTTCAGGTTTATATACTGCAGCTGTAGCAAACTGCAGCATATTTACTAAAGGTTTTTATAGGTGTGGTATCGTAAGCCCACAAAATTCCTTTAAACGTTGTTATTCGTTTTGCTCTCGGCAGAATTCAACCCCCATAAAACTATCGTACCATTATCTGAAATGTGATGCAGATTATGATATCAGGTCCTATTTCTCATTTATATTTTCTTTCATGTGCATAAGATTGTGTAGGTGTTATTAAGCACATAACGTTATGATAGGGATACAACCGGAAGTCTGCAAATGCTTGTCTGTCATGACGCCCAATTACCAATGATAACACTAAGATCAACACATCGCAATATCTACTGACGTCACATGATACGCAAGTCTCGATATTTTGGATCACAGTGTAAATGGGTCTACTATCATACAGCTTAAATTAGGAGAGACATACGAGGGGACGGGGGAGTGGTGTCTCCAAATAGGTAGATTAATAGTATAATGCAATTACGCAAAGATATCAAACCTAATAAACACATCCCTCGTGAAGATAAATTGGTAATGGGGTATACATCAAATGTTCCACCCACATGGAGTCTTTTCACAAAATTACAAACAATAAGATAAATTAACTAATTGGCTGTATAATGCTTCAATTTACATACATACAGCCATGCACGTACTCATGTCATTCTTTACAAAGTAATCTAATGTACGCAGCTTTTTACATTGCAGTAATTTAGAATTAAATCCGGATTCGATTCTTTAAAAGAAAACACCCTCATTTGATTTAATTTCAACAAATAAGCATGATAAGCAGTTGCCAAAAGAGAGCAGCGCTCACGAGAATGACCGGAAAGAACGGTAATGAACGCGGGAAGGGAAACAGTTTTGGGATTTAACATACTAGAAAATTATCATTGCATGGGTACAGTTTGTTTCTACAATTGAGACATGCGGTTTTCTTTGCACGTGATCAGTTACGTGCTTCCAAATAAAATGTTTTGTTTTAGATTACAGCGCATGAACTTCTGTGCACTGTATCAAGGGGATTTATTCCGATTGTCATCTAATTATGTAGAGTATCCAATAGTCTGGGAAGGGCATTTACATTTAATAAATACAATCGAAGAATGATATTTAATGGATACCGGTAGAAAGGAATTCTTTAAAATGTTGTGAGCGTCAAAATCGACAGCCTAGCATAGCCGGGTAATGTTGGAGCGCCTTGAGGACCTTGCAAGGTCGATACGTGCGCTATATAAGAATCCAATATTATTATTATAATTATTATGATTATTAAAAGAAAATCATGATCACAATTTGTAAATATAAGTAGCAATTTTTCAAATCCTGAATTGAAGGTCTATTTTGCCAGATTTATATGAAATATAAAATGGAGGTCGAAACTGCTGAATTGAGAGAGACTGGGGGCGGAACGCGTAAAATATATTTTATCAGAACATTCGAATGTTAAAGTATTTATTGTTGAAATCAAATCGGCCTACTTTAATATCAGTCTCGTCAACTGACCTCATTTTCTCTTTTTTTCGCATAATTGATGAATTAGCGCCTTTACAACTATAATTTTAGTGCTTATAGGCATACAGTTGGGTTAGAGTTAGTGGCTAGAAAGAGACGTATGGATGGATGGGGGGGGGGGGCAAAATGTGGAGGGGAAACTGGAAAGTTAACATTCGGGCACAAGATGAAAGTCTCCACCACGGCGCAATACTTTGTGCACGTACACACACACACATCTATGAATAACTAAAGAAGAAGGAGAAGAAAGAAATAAAGAAAACAACAAGAAGAAAACCTCACAAAAAGGATTCTAAGGAAACTTGAGCAAATGTCATAATGTACACTAATACGATAAACCGAATGACGCCTGGCTGAGGTTAAACAAGTGACAGCGAGATTACAGACACCCGCAATCGACCCTGATGAAATGTTAAGGAGACCGAAGATAGGATCAGAGAGGGTAACAATGCATGGATCTGTGCCAGGGAGGTCTCACTGTCTGTACTTAGATTCCATATAATATCAGACAACTCTAGTAGATTGATATATCACATTAACTATAAAAAAAAATCACTTTAATTTTTGATATGGTACCATGGTCTTTAGATAACACGACATTATGTACTGACTTTGTGACAGCTACGTACAGGCATAAGCGTATGCAAAGTTACTTACTATCAAACAAAAATCACATCAACAAAACTGAATGCGTTATGTATTTCATGGGCAAGGATATTATGTCATCTTATTAGCAATACATGCAGCATTTAGTAAACCGTGTAGTAATGGCAAAAATAAAATATTATTTCCCGACATTTGGCAGCTGCTTATCGGCGTACATACTACTCTCGACCCAAACTCGGACCATATACTCTGCAGGCAGGTCAATGAAGACAGCGTACTTGGGCCACTCCTTGTCACTGTAACACTCCTCTGTGGTCGAGGTGCACATGAAATGGTAATCGTGCATGAGACTGACCCCAATCTTCTTCAAACACATGCCCATGAAGACATCCTCCCAGGGGAACAAGGGCGTGGTCAGTGCGGCACGGAACGTTGCCTCCACCAGATCTGTGGACATGATGACCGCTGGACCCGAGAGGTACGGTGGGTACGTCGACGCCGGGTAAAAGTTTTTGGAGATGCGGTATTTCCCCCATTCTCCTTGTCTGCTACGGACCACCGGCATGTCCAGGTTCACGTTGCCGATGACGACCCCTCGAGAGGGCGCTTTAAGGATGAACTCCAGGATGCGAGCCTTGTTGAGCATCGTATCGTCGTCGATTTTCATCGCAAACTTTGCATGTCGACAATGCTCAGTTACCCATTTCAAACCCATGACCGTCTTCCGCGTCAGGTTCAGGTAACTATCAATGAAATCCTCCTGGACAATATCGCCATAGATGCTAGCCTCGGCATTGATCTTGGATTGCAGAACCGGATCATTCGTCGTTCCCAGCATAAACACTGTCCTGACGAGGGTCTGATTTAGTATTTCCCAGGCTTGGTTGCTACCGTAGGTCACACGGATATGGTCTCTTCGTTTTAAATTACCAAGAGCTGATGTCACAAATACAATCATTGGCACTCGATATGGTCTTCCTTGTTGATCAAAGCAAACATTACGGGGCGTGTTCATCCGAGTGTAGATATGTGGATCGGTTGGTTCCAACAAATAATTACCGTGTTTGTACATGTATGTATCCCAGGAATGCTCCTTTTCGTTATTCAAACGTTCCTCTCCTCTACTTAATAGAGGTATTCCCGCCATATCACGTCGCCGTCCTGCATGATTATTCTTCTCAACCTCACCATCACCCGAGAGACTTTCTCGATTCCCTCTTTGCACGATCATGGCGTTAGCTGACGAAACGATCACGAATCGTCCTTGGTCTCCTCCAACAGCAGTAATTGATCTCAAGGATCTCTCCTGGCGAAAACTTACACCAGTTCTGTTCATTCCGAACATAACGACGAATCCCAGCAGCCCAAGATAGAGGTAACGTCCAACTGCTGATCGCCATATTCTCAATTTCAAACATAACCTCATCCTGAAAGGTTTTACTCCTGCAACCTCTCCGCATTGGTTCAAAAATTTTCCTTCAGCTTCAAAGATGTCAGGAAGAGTCTGTTTTCTATTTTTCTTTTTTTGGTCACCCTGCATTCAGTGATAAGCATGAAACACAGTCGTTTGCTGTCATGCTTCTTCCAAAATTGTAAGGTTTGCGTGTGAGTTAAAGACTCTGCTTCTTGCGTCAGTACTTACTTCCATGACGAAAAAACACAAAGATTGTCGCAAACTAGTTTAGCACTTAGTTCGGTTTTCTCGAGTCTAAGAATATTAATAATTCCGAGCTTTGTTCAGATTCGACACCATGATATTCCAAAGGGGTTAACCACTCATAACCAGAAGAACATGGATATGATACAAATTGCTGGAATGACGTGTCTTTCTAGGCATGTGCACCTTGGCTAGGGTGAATGAATTCTGCAGCAATCTGACAACGCCAGCCAGTCTCGAGGGATCCTTGACAGCTATGCGGGAGAAATTAGGCAAACCCGTCTTAATGTTGGAAACCTGCCAACGAACTGTTACACTTAAGGGGAATGTCCCAAATAGGTTGATGTTTTTCTAGCCGTTAATGACGCTTAGTTCATCCGAGTGGCGGTGTGAATCTGTTGACAGCCATCTGCAAGTATATGAACAATAGGAAAAGCATGTTTTATTGAAAGAAGACTGATAAGAACTCAGTAAATACAAAGAAGCGACCATTTGTAACAGTATACTGTGTTTGCCTCAAGAACCTCTATACTGGTTTTACTTTTATTTCATCTTGCCGATGAAAACAACTTTAGATTATTTAAAAATACACTTAATAAAATTGTTTTTTTTTCAGGTTGAGTTACATCTTCTGAATCCAAAAGAAAAGTAAGAAGTTAACTTCCTTATCGCTTTCTTTCACTGAATAATAAAGAATAATTTTGATAGTTTTAAACAGTTTTCAGAATGTCATTCCTGTCCAATAGAAACCACCCACCCAAAATAATAATGTTATGTTTTACTTGCTTCGGTAATAAAACATACATGATTTCCTGGCTGTCTGATAGTTGGTGTGCCAACATGAATGATTTGCAAACAAAACAATGGTAAGCCTTAATACATCATTTTGTCTGCATGTATAGGCATTAACAATTGGCAGGAAACGCTAAATAGAAATAAATTAATTCCAAATGAACGTTGTAGATTATCATCCAAAAACAACATTGTTTTCAGACATAATGTGAGCTGAAGATCGCAAACAATGTAGAGTGTATTGAATCTGATTATGACACATCAAGGAAACAAGTCATTAAAATAAATCGACAAGAAATCATCGGAGTAAAGAATGGACAAAACAAACGATTGCTTAACATAAAATACATTGTAGAGAGGAGAGAGGGGCGGGATGAAGAGAGAAAGAATGAAGATGTTAAGAAAGAGAGAAAGAGAGAGGGGAGGGGAGAGAGAGAGAGAGGGGGAGAGAAAGAGAGAGAAACAAAGAGAGAGAGAGGGTGAGAGAGAGCGTGTATGTGTGTGTGCGCGTGTTTGTACGTGTGCGCGTGCGTCAAGTTCATGTATTGTTTTTAGTCCACGTAATTTATCGCCCCTTTCAATTACATTGCTGTTTAACTTAATGCTTTTAATATATTTTAATTGTCTATTATATGATAGAAATACGACCATATACGAAATAAGTAGATCATTGACGGTTTTTTACCATTATCATTAATCTCGATATAATTTAGTATTGTAAAAAGCATTATTTATTGTCTTCCCATGCTCTACTGTCTCCCACGAGTTTGGATTTTGAATCGAGAGTCGAGTTGTCGGGATCATCTCGTGAGGAGGGATAGGTAATCATAAACAACTATATAGAGGTCTATAATGTATGTTGTCTTACTATCATGTTGTATTTTTTTCCTTTTTATTTTAAAAGAAAATGGAAACAAAAAATTGTAAAAATATTACGAGTAATATAATTAATTTCATTCCTGTAATATGTTTCAGATGAGATAGTAGTTTGTTAATTTGTGTCATGCCTGGTTATTGTTATTTTGAATCTTACACTCAATTGTCTATTTTACACTATACTTTTGAATTTGTTATCCAATGTATAAAAAGATTGAGAATGATCCTATCTGTTTGGATTGAAATGAATAACGTTTGAATTACATACAGACGTGACAATGAACTTTATGGTTTACATTACAGACAAAATGTCCCCCAAATATCATTCTCTGTATCCCTACAAGCTTAAAAACTGTGACGCATAACCCGAGTTCGTTAATGAGAGCGTAACCCGGTCCCTATCATACCGTGTTCAGTTGCGGTAGTCACAACTCAATTAATGGCAATTAGTGGAGTATAATGCTAATTGATCCTTACCGGTACATCTTTATCGCATTACAGAACGACCGTAACAACACAGTATAGAACTGTCTGACAAACGTGCCGATCTTGTAATGCTATTTTTAGTAACGTGAATGCAAGAGACGGCTAGATGACAAGCTTAAGTATATTTTTCAGTGTTAAAATGTTTCGAGACTAAAATTTTGAACTTTGAATAATATTTGAGAAGAATATTTTGACTAAACGGAAACAATATTCAGATAGTATACATGTTAAGAGTCGTATTAAATGATGCCTGCATCCATTTATTATCTATATTTAGGTAGAAAGGTTAAAATCAAATCACTTATGTCCTTGAGCAAGGCATTTAATCTACACTACTCCTCTCCACCCAGGTGTTAAATGGGTACCTGGTAGGATGCAAACGTCGTTGTGCATGGATTAGCATGTGCGGGCCCGTATAAAGGCGATCAGCTGGAATCCTCCCCAGGGAGTGGAGAATGTGTATTGTAATGTGCAGAATAATTATTATATCGCATATTCATTTATTCAGGGTTATAGAGTCACTTCCAACTCAAGTTTTCACAAGGGAAAGATCTAATAAGCAATTTAATCTAGTGACCGGGGTAATAATGATAATACTGTAAGCGCTTTGGTCACTTAATGGAAAATAAATGCGCTGTATAAGAAACCAATACTTTTTATTATTGTTATTATTACTATTATTATTATTACTATTATCATTATCATTATCATTATTATTATTATTATCGTTATAATATTCTTACTCTAATACTTCTTCTTCTTCTTCTTATAATTGAAATTATTAAACTAGATATTTCTATTTATCACAATGTCGTATATTGGAACAATCATATTGATCCTCTAACAATTGGGGAGAGAGAGAGAACGAGAAAGAGGGGGGCGTAACAAGTTGGAAAAGTACGAGAACACACAAACAAACACGCAAACAGCCTAAAACCAAAGCAGCTCATCAAAGTTGGTGAGAATCAAGAACTTACAGCATGATACGTAACCTTTAATAGTCTCAATGTACTTTGTATGCGGAGACAGCTTGGCTAAACTCTGAAAGCTGTAAAAACTAAACCAGGAGCTACTTCGGTACGTAATACAGATTATCGAATCAACTTACCGTTTCGAAAGTTCCAAAACAAACTGAAGTCTGGAGCATCCAAGAGCGCGCCTTTACATTAATTCTCTCAAACCGCTTAGATTGATATCGTTTAATCAGCCCGCTACACCCGCTTTCAAATTCGTCTTTGCAATTGAAAACATCTCAAGGGTGAAATATATCGCACTTCCCAAGATGAACTCGATTTAAAGTCTGAAACGAAGTTGCGTCGCCGTCAACAATGCCTCATCATTACTGACTCATTCAAGTCCTTGTTGAAAATGTACATCGGTAATCGAGGCAGTCTTGACCTTATGTATCGCATCCTACTATGAGCATGACAAGTGACCGTCTGTTTTTATTTTCGTAGCATGCCATTGCTAAGGATAGCAACCTCGTGACTCGAGCCGGACTCGAGTTGGGGCTCGTGCCCCTGACTCCTAAATCTCATTTCCGATCAAACCTTGCTCCTATATCGAGTTCACGCTTTAACCTGCTTCTACCCGACTAGAATCAAGCAATATGTGTCTGAGGGAACAGTAATCGTCATCAAGCGGCGCCGCGTGAACTTTGGAAAGAGGAAAAAGGAGAGGAACAGGGGGGGGGGGGGGTGTTACCCTCTTCAAGGTCCCAGGAGTGTGGGTGTGCATGACATTTCACAAAATCTTTTAAGAGCTCAGAAGAATTGATACTATTTTCTGAATATTGTATAGTCATAATAACTGATTTCATATAAATAGTTTATCAAAACTCACATTTTTCATGATTTAACTGAAAAGAATTACTCTATATGAGTGCATTCACACAAAAATATATTATTATCAAGATAACTTGGATGCTGGTGTGAGAAAAATATGATTCTTAAGGGGGAAAGTTAGCAATTTGTAATCAATATACAGAAACCAATTAGTGGATAGTGAGGCTATGACGTCTCAGAATCATGATTGAGTTGCCAATTTGTCTTGTGATTTTCAGAGTCTTTCATGTCATTAAAAGTTCATAACGTTCTTACTAGCTATCCGATTTTGCTCAAATTCCTTTTGATTGGTTTGTCTGATTTTTCTGCTTGTATTGAAAGTTAGTTATTTCTGGAGTGGACTTGCCCTTTAAAATTCCCGCTTCAATTTGTCACTTTAACAATATATGAATAATTAAGGACCAATCCTTGATTACCATGACATACACTTCTCTCCTACAATTTTTTTTCTCGACCTCTGACACTGTTACAATGGTAACCATATTTAAACAAATGAGATAATTGACAAACAACTCTCAAAACGTAGAAGCCTATATCAATATCAGCGATTTATTATTTTCTCTAGTTGGCATGACTCCCATCTCTCTCCCGTCAAGCCTTACCGGTTAATCGATGACAATGTCCTATTTGCGTGAAGGTCACTAAGGATATCATTTTTCTAATCACCTATCACCATTTTGTATCTGTTTAACGCTAATTTAAGATGACAAGGAGACCCGATGACTCGTCGCGGCAGTTATCTCGTGCATTATGAGCGTGCTCTATATAGTTCGAAGTCTTGTTTTTGTTTGAGAATCATAAAAATGAGATTAAACTGTAAAAAAAAAATCTTTGCTGAATATCACACACAATGGAAGACTATATCAACGCAGATACAAGTTAGTGTATGGGATTAGAACAAAACATGTGGCATTGATTGTCCAAAGCTGTAAACAACTTTTCGTCAAATTTGACATATGCGAGCATTTGAGAACAATCTTTGACAAGTGACATTGGTGCTACTCTATTCTTAGACATGGAAATAAAAGAGAGAAAGCTCACACATTATTTTTCTTTAGCTTTTCCAGTACTCAAACAAAGAAAATATCTAACTACTTTCACGTCCATTTAATAGCGTGAATCGGTCAGCATGGCTTAGAGGAGAAAGGGATATATATATATATAGAGAGAGAAAGAGAAAGAAACAGAGACAGAGCAATACAAAGAAGGGGAGAGAGAGGGAGAGAAAGAGAGAAAGACAAAGACAAAGAAGAGAGAGGGAGAGAGAGAGAGAGAGAGAGAGAGCACTAGAGAGACACACAAGGAGACAGAGTAAGAAAAAGAAGTGAGTGTGTGAGAGAGAGAGAGAGAGAGAGAGAGAGAGAGAGGGGGGCGTATCTAATACAGTAGAAAGATGAAAAAAGAAGTAGAGGAGGGGGTCTAACTATTAAGAACGGAAGAGGTGTCAAAAATGATATCCGCCATTCCACGTGATATTTTCCGGCGCCAACGCAGAGAGTGCGTACACTGTTAAAAAAATTCTCCATAAAAATACAGAAAAGTGCCTGCAGCAGAGTCTCGAGAACTCCTGTAATTTTACAGAACTTTGTTATCACAATTCACAAGTCATCAGTTTTTTAACAGCAAATATGGAGGTGATAAATACAAATTTTCTGTTTTTTATATATATATTTTTCCAGAACTCTAGAGAACTCCATTTTTGTTTACACCATATTTGTAACCATAATTTAAAGCTGATCTGTTTAATAACATACAATCTGTAAGTGATTATAACATTTCATTTTTGTAAAAAAAAAAGACAGAAAAGTGTCTGATTCAGGGTTTACAGGAATCCTTTAGCTTTGCCACATTTTTCTTTTCACAATTTACAATTCATCTGTTTTTTAGCCGCAAATCTGCATATGATAAATGAAATTTATTCTTAAAAAAACAGAAAGATAACTTGCCGAACTACAAGGAACTCCTGTAATTTTGCAGCAGATCTACTATCAAAATTTACAGCTCATCTTTTTAATAACAAGCCATCTGTGATACATGAAATTTATCTTTAAAATAAAGACAGAGGAGTGCCTGAATCAAGGTTTACAGGAGTGCTTTAATTTGACTACATATTTCTCTTCAAAATCTACAGTCCATCTGTTTTGAAACAGAAAATCGGCATGTAAAAAAAAAATGAATAAAAAATAAACAAAAATAAAAAATAGAAAAATTATAACGGAATGAAAAAATAATAAAAAGGGCAGGGTGCTTGCAGAAGTCTCGAGAAATTCTGTAATTTTATAGCATGATTCATAATTTACAGCCAATCTGTTTTATAACATTTGTGTGTAATAAATGAAATTTCTCATGAAATTATTTAAATTATATCCTATAGAAATCCTACAAACATGTTCATGAAAAATCTGTAAGACCTTAATGCTAGAGTGTGTATGTACAAGTTACCATCAAAACACACACTAAAAAAATAAATCTTGTGACTGCTGCAGGCACCTGCTTTAATTTTACAGATACACAAGTCAGTCAAACAAACAACTGCAACATTTTGTAGTTTTTCAAGGGTTTATTTATCATTACCAATTACAAACATGTAAATACTGATCTGCAAGGAGCTTAATCAACAGTAAAACAATAAAAGCAAACTTCAGTAAGTAGCAAATATATCAAATGTAACAAAAACTATATGGCCTAACAAACAACTGCAACATTTTGTAGTTTTAAAAGGGTTCATTTATCATTACCAATTACAAACATGTAAATACTGATCTGCAAGGAGCTTAATCAACAAGAAAACAATAAAAGCAAACTTCAGTGAGTAACAAAGATATAAAATGTAACAAAAAACTATATAGCCTACGGGGTGCCCCCCCCCCCCCCATGATATGAAATCGTAAAGAGTCATGTTTAACCGAGGTATATCATTTATTGCTAATTCATGATCGACATGCCACCACTTCTGGCGCAGGTGAAATTTTATTTCCTCTCTCTCTCAAAAAAAAAAGGGCCTCCTGTATAGACAAGCATGACATTCATGCTATAAACCTGATAAAATTTATACCAAATAAAAGAGGAAGATACTCTTTTAGGACATACCACAGTCTTTGAAGAATAACATACATTAGAGATTATATAGATTTTTGAAAGTGGACTTTTTTTTTCTGACTCACCCTGTATAGATGCCTAAAGAAAAGGGCACCTGCATTCTTCATTCCTTTACAAAGATTATTTTGGCTCAAACCAATAATGAAAACCTTTAAAATCTGGAGGCATAGAACCTACTGCAACACATGACTTGTATGTGATTGGCATATTTAAACACATACAAAACATAATTTAACACATTTCTAAAAAAATAAATGATTGGCATGATCAGATATCATATTGCAAATAGTGTGAAGTGCAGAAAAATACAAATCACAGTCCAAGGATCATAACATGTCGCTCTTCTGGTTGGGTAGAAGAGAAGCCTTCCAATCAACCATCTAAACCAAATTCTAACGGGATCCCTAAGACCACTTTGAGGTGCTCTTTCAGATGTGCTATAACAATGCTAAAACTGTGCCGGGGGGGGGGGGGGGGGGTCTATTTCAAACATGTCCATTGTAACATAGAAAATGTAAACAAAATGCACACTAAATCTAACCTGATGATATTTTGATGCAATTCTGCTCGATTTGAGGGTCACACACTCAATGGTCGGAATTCACAAAGGAAGTTTAAGTTTAGACCATGGTTTATGCAGATTTTGTGTATGATTAGCTGACAAAGATCCAGTATAAATGCACGCTTTTGGCAAAGTACTAGAAATTCATGATTTTTGCCATGGTTTAAAGCTATGGTTTAAAATCATAGCAACAAGCATGAATTGAGCGCCCTTTGCCATACAGCGTGCCTTCATATTGGACCTTTCTCAGCATACACGCTAAATTAAGCGCAAATTATACACAAAATCTACATAGACCATGATTTAACCCCCCACAGAGTTTAAAGGAGAATGAAAGTCAGACATTTACATGATTTCAGTGAATGGAGAATACCAATGAGACTTAACAGTAAAAGTTTGAGCAAATTTGGATAATCCGTTTTTGGGTTATGGATTTTTGAAGTTTTAAAAAATCCTTATTATGGACTTCCTTAAGTTGGCAATTCCGCTAGAATTTGTGATGTCATTGTGCTCAACTCTCCATTGGTTATGTACAGAGAGTTTCACAACATTTTATTTTTATAAAATATTAAAAGGGCAATTGTATTGATTCTTTCAGACATACTGCAGAATTGATGTAGCCATGTCATACAAAAACAAAATACACTGGCGGAAATATTATTTTTGATGAAAATTAGAAAAAAGTGAAACTCTCTGTACATAACCAATGGAGAGTTGAGCACAATGACATCACAAATTCTGGCGAAGTTGCCAACTTAAGGAAGTCCATAATAAGGATTTTCTAAAACTTCAAAAATACATAACTCGAAAACGGATTATCCAAATTTGCTCAAACTTTTACTGTTAAGTCTTGTTGTTCTTCTCCATTCACTGAAATCATGTGACTGTCTAACTTTTATTCTCCTTTAAGCCTCCTTTGTGAGTTCGGGCCAAGAATATCAAATTAATATGGCCATCAGTTCTCATAATTGAAGATGGCATAATGTACATTATTTTCCTAAACAGCATACAAATGTCTATTTTTGTTCTCAAAATACCCACTTGCCTCAATGAAAAATATGTACATGTTTCCAATAAAAGATGAAGATGATGTACATAGCATAGCTGCCAACCTTTGAAAACACAAATTAGTACATACTCAGCACCTCAAAAATTTGTATTTTTCAACCGATCCTCTTCTCAACTATTTCAAAATGTAATATTGTTGTATCGCAGTATCGCAGACCCCTGGGTAGCAAAACAAATTTCCTTGCAAGTCACATGCAAGCCTAATGTGACAGGGCCTTAAGGAAATGTTGCTCTTACCAATGGTATTAATAAGTTGATCTGTGTGCTATCAGAAGTGTGTCAGGCATTGTTCATGGGACACCCTGTATATAAAGTTGACCAGGGTAAACACCAACATGGTATAATGTTTGCATACTGTAGCATATATCATCAAGAAAACACTATAAACAACCTTCAAAAGAACAAATATACAAATTATATAGGTATAAAATTATAAATAGGACCTGCTGAGGTTTTCTTACATTACCAACAAAATCTAAAAAACTCACTTTGTTCCTTGGCAAGGACTATCTTGGCTCTTTCCAAAAATCAAAGCCTTTCACATCTGGATGCATACATCCTATACTATACTAATACTTATATATATTTTATTTGCATTATGTTGGGGATGTTGAGAAAAGGCTTTCAAGATGAGGCACAAATAATAGAAATTTACAGGTTTCTTACATCACATTGTCTCATCCATGTATTCGTCACAATAAAAATCGTGCATAATAAAGCACATCTCAAAACAAATTGACAGAAGCATAAAAAATGAGAGCTGGATGTCTGCTACTCTGTTTTCCAGTCAGATTCGAACTCTACGATTCCACGAAGGAGGGCAATTATCTTTGGAGACACGGCCGATTTCTTCTTCTTCTTTCCTCCACTCTTTACTGGACCCCCAGGACTGATGCCAATGAGTTCCCTGAAAATACATACAAACAGAGATGTTATCTTGCAAATTAATCTTCATACTTCTAACTACGCTTAACTTCTCGAAATTTGAATATTGAAACGAAAGAAAATATGTCGACTTGGAAAATAATGCCTTAAACAACTTGTCAAAAGTCTGTACCTTGTCTTATAGCAGGAATCCTGCTATAAATGCATCTTTTTATAGTGGCTTTCCCACATTCCCCATCGTTTTGACTATGATAAAATATGAGGATTGGCAATAAAAAGCTGCTTGCGGGATTCCTGCAGGGGGGGGGGGGTCTGTTTCTGCTTATGTTTGTTTTATTGGTTGGATATGGCTGAAAATGAAATGATGTGAGGAGCGATTTTGTTTCCAATTCCGTTATGGACTGATACTAAGCTAGCAACTTGCAATAATCTGTATGAAATCAAAACACAAGTAGTGCTCTAACCATAAGCTGGTGATTAAAACACCTCTTCTTGCCAAAACAAAAAAAAACAAATACCACCTGAAATTTATTGAAACATTTTTTGTCCTTCAAACATGAATATACAGCATTGAAATGTACGAATAATGAACAAAGTAAACAAACAAACTAACAAACAAGCAAGAAAAAAATCACAAAAGCTTTTCATACCAGTTAAGAACTCGATGTGAACAATAGCCATTCATTTAGCAACTTTTCACTTCTGACTTTGATCTGTATTCAGTAGTACTGTGCATTCAAGCATAAAATAACCATTACAAATGAGGTATCAATGTAAAGGGGAATAAATGAACCTTCCATTGATATCAAATTCAATAATCATAGAAAAGGAGCAAAAAAGATATTAAGGCTCAAAATTGATCTGCAGGACTTTTTTTGAGGAGTTTAGATTAAAGATAGAAAGAGAACAGACAAGAGAAAAGAGAGAGAGGGAGAGATGAAGGACGGTAATATATCACAAGGATACCATGGTGGAGGTTATTGTCAATATTCCGTAGGTGGTTTTCTTCCAACTCATCAAGGACAATGGAATAATGCACCACCAAGGAGAGAAGGAGAGAGCATGAATTCCTCTTGCATAGAGAGGTACAGGCACCACCCCTCATGGAATGACTTGTGTTGCAGATATTTCACACAAAACGCCAAGAATGGTTGCATCTTCCAGGTCTTTTAGGTTGAAGTCATTATGTCATGCTGTCACTATGGTAACAGACAATAATGCAACATCGAGTGGTAACTGGGGAATGTTCAGCAATGATTCTATGATTAAGGACAACACCACTGTTCTTGCCATTCATCTTGCAGCCATCATGCCCTTTCAAACTAATGATTTTTCTGTTTGTTGTTGCAACCCAACAAAAGTTAGTTAAAATACCCACCTTTGGATGAACTCCATAGTGACTGATCCCTCTGGTGGGTACTCTAGGGAAAGAGCGTAGAAACAGCAGAACAGTGTGATCACTGCTTCCCGGAATGTGGCTATTCCATCATTGACGACAGATCCTTCTATTACAAGATAATAGATGTTTCGCCCTTTGAAGATGTCTTCCCTTGATCCTGAAATATAAGGTGAGAAGTCTGATAAGGACACGTTCACGTAAAAGTGGACAGGAGGATCCAAAAAATAAGGTAGATTGATATGAAACAAATTTGGCATGATATTAAAGCCAAGACTAAATATTTTCCTGATATGAAATTTAAAAAATTTCACTTTTGCCCCCCCCCCCCCAAAAAAAAAACAAACAACCAACAAAACTATGATTATGTAGTCATTATTTATTTTAAGCTTGAACTAGAGAGACAAACGTAACAAACTCAACCCATCTTTGTCATAAAAAGTAAATCGATTTGATTCTAATGATACATAAATTATGCTGTTAGAAGTTTTCAGTAACACATTTTTCTCAGTAAAGATTTTTGTTTCGCTTCAGTGACTTCATACATTTTGCAATGTACAATTAAACAATATACGATTCTTTTCACTTCCATCAATTAAAATCAATTAATTTTATGTTGTTTATGATCGAAATAGTGTTGCCAATGATTTAAATTTACAGATAAGTACAAAAAAACAACAACAAAAACAGTAAAATAAATAAGAAATGAAATATAGTACCAGAATTGTTTTAATGTACATTTGATGAGAAATCCTAAAAAGATGGTCAGTAGCAAAAGTTAGATAGTTCATGATCTTTATTTTAGATTTACAGCCATTTAAAATAAATTATGTATGAATTAGTATAAATTAAAATAAATTGTAATTAACTTTTGACAATAAACTATACAATTTTGAAGATTACATTCTGGATAGGGTGTGTGCCAATTGCTGTTGCGATCGTGCATTCAACAGCCAAAACCTGGTAATACAAGCGCGCATTAAGGGCGCGCCAACGCGTTATGTTCGAGCGCAAACAAAAAAAATGTAAACAAAAATATTCGCGCATTTTTATTTTCGCGCCATTCTCGTGTTGCGCGAAAATTTTCACACCGCGAAATATTCCACGTTTACAGTATTTGATTAATATTTTTCGCAAAATCAAAGGGAAATCGTGACAGCTTTATTTTTGTTAAGTGTCCGGACACCCACACATGGGAGAATGTAGTACAATGTCAATGGTAACTCAACGCAGTGTACAGCGTTATGCACGCGGGTCTTTTTTATTCACAGCCTTTTTAGAAATAGCGTTATCGACTCGGCGCGCGTGTGTATTGCCAATGTAAAGTCGGCAATATTTTAAGCCCTCTATTGGCACAAAAATGTCAACAGGTTTTTGCAAGTCTGCCTCGCAAGTGGTCAATATACTATCTTGTAGATCTAGTTTATTTACCACTTGCTTAGCAGGTGTGCCGGACACCCAACTCCCATCCTACGTTTTTAGATCCAAGGACCAAAGACAAAGTCCAGAGACCAAACCACGTGTGTGAGAACGTTTGGCATTTTCGATCTTGTAGATCATTAAATAGACCTAGTCCTAGACTAGACTCTAGTCTAGTCTAGAGTCTACTAGATTCTACTAGAGTTTTAGACCGATTAAATCTGTCTCTGTTTTGGGGGGCCTAGTATTTACAGTACGGTCATTAATCGGGCGGCCCTCCCCGTTAATGACTGTACTGTAAATACTAGGTCCCCCAAACATAGACCGAAGGCTCCGGCCGTGTGTGTCGCTCTCAGTCATTAACATACGGACATTCTCTTTTTACCCTCTCTCCACTCAGAGGGTAAAAAGAGAATGTCCGTATGTTAATGACTGAGAGCGACACACACGGCCGGAGCCTTCGGTCTACCCCAAACAGAGACAGATTTAATCGGTCTAGCTTACTTTACTAGAGTTTAAGCATAAATTCTCGAGTTCTATCCGACTTAAATCTCATCGTGGTGATCACCAACAAACTCAATTCTTAATACTATAAACACTACATTGAAATTCTTGTTATAATACCTAACGAAAAAGAGACTTTAATTGACAATCGACTTACCCAATCCAATTCAAATCACAGGCAGGCCCAAGCTCAGCTCACGAACGAACTTCGCAGGTATGTACTGCATGCATTATGTACATAGATCAGACTACACTATGAATATGACAGACAATAAAAGCGGACAAAATATACAGTTCCTCAGGTAGACAAAGGGACGGCCCTTCACTGCTATTATGTAAAAATGTGTAGAACAGGTGTCACATGCATATTCACCTGTTCTACACATTTTTACATAATAGCAGTGAAGGGATGTTCCTTTGTTTTCCTGAGGAACTGTATATTTTGTCCGCTTTCATTGTCTGTCATGTTCATAGTGCTAACTAGATAACTTCTATGCTGCACTGTACATGTACGTACGTACACATCACGGTAAACATGCACAATTAATGCATGGCGCGCGCGTGCGATCGTGCAAGCAGCTAGCAAGCTATAGCTGGCGCTGGCCCGGCGCGCCCGGCCGGTTCGTTCTGATCTGATCGATCGCCATGCATGCATATATGGGCGCGAACGAAGTGCACGCATGCATGTTACACGCTATCGCTAACGGTAACAAAAAAGTTGGCGGCAAGAAAAAAGAAAAGAAAGAAAAAATAAAATAAAAAAACAGAAATCTGAATAAGATATGAAAGCACTATTAAAACTTCCTGTTAGAAAAAAGAAAAAAAGAATAGAAAAGAAGAAAAAGAAGAAGATTAAGAAGATGCAGAAAAATTACGGTACCGGTATAGTTACAGTTTCAGTTCGTGGGAGTTCGTGTTGTTTTTATGGCATAAAAAAGAAAGATTTCTGAGAGGTCTACATGAACTTTGAAGTATATATATAATTATGCCTAGCCTACTAAAATTTAGGCCTATATAAAGCATAACCTCTGATAAAAGCAGACTAATTTCCGGTAAAAACGAAATCTTCTTTCCCTTTTAAATGTGCCCGAATTCGGCAGCTTGAGTCAATTAACAGAAAGGTTTTGTATTTTTACCGCAAATTATTTTACGTTGTTGAGTTTAAGGCATTAAAAGGCAGTTAAGGTCTTTTTTTTTTTAAATTGAAAAGGGTATTTTGTAGAACATTAAATATCTATAGGGGATCTGAATGTCCTTGAAAAAAAACCCTCATCAACTTCTTTTTTAGATTTCTGTCAAATTGCAGTGAAATTCAGCTATTAATTTTACAGAATTGTTTACGGTATTTTCCTCTATAAATTCTGTCTTTTTTATTCATTAAACTAAATGAGATTGCTTTGAATAAATCGACACTTTGTAGAATTAAAAGCAAAATCTGCTTAAAAACATAGGCCTACGAATTTCCATAAAGAAAAAAACAATCCTTTTTTTAGAGAGGGAGAGAGATCCGTCCTTTTCACAGCAGAAAATGTCAAGTAACATTAATTATCAGAGTGGTTCTGTATTATTGTTTCCTGTATTTTTTTTATTCATTAAAACATGAGGTTTACTTTGAATAAAAAGACACTCCATTTATTTACATGGGATCTTCTTTTTAGAGATCTGTTAAATTGCAGAAAGTTTCTAGTTTACATTTTTACAGAATGAATCTGTATTTTAATTTCTGTAGATTCTTTCTTTTTATTCATTAAAACATGAGGTTTACTTTGAAAAAAAAAACGCTCTGTAGAATCATAATAAATCTGCATATTGGATCTGAAAGCATACAGAATTCCTATTAAAAAAAAACATCTCCCCTTCTTATAGAAATCTGTCCTGTTAAATTGCAGAAAATTCCAGTTACATCAATTTACAGAATGGTTCTGTATTTTTGTTTTCTGTAATTTCTTTTTTATTATCCGTTAAAAAATGAAGTTTTCTTAATAAAAAAAGAACATTCCGTAGAATTGTAAAAAATCTGTATATGGGATCTGAAATCACGCAAATTGCCTGTAAAAAAACAAAATCTTCATTTTTTCTAGACATTTGTCCTGTTAAATTACAGAAAATTTGCTGTTACAACACTTTAAAGAATGGTTCTGTATTTTTTTCTCTGTAAAATCTACTGTTTTTTTTAACAGTGTATAAGCCTTCTATTAATAGGTATATACAGCGATATTTACACTCAACATCATGCAACTGTAGCGCTTGAGTTTTTCTTATCAAGGGGGGGGGGGGGGGTTGCAAGTTCCGAAATACAAAACAAAACCGAAACAAATTATTCCATTTTTATCGGGAGTATAAAAATACATTTTTGAGATATTTACATAACCCCCTCGGCCCGTTATTCCGCCTGTGCCATGATTAATTTATGATTTAATTCATCGTGATGAAAATATGCATTCTGTAATGTTAAACTTATGAGATTTGTTAACTTGATATACATGCTTGCAATTCAATTGATTTGATGAATGACGAATTATTGTTTTCACTGTTTTTTAAAATTGTGATATTCACCCTACATGTCTAATGAGCGGCTATCAGACACTCTTTCACCCAATATCTAAATATAAAGCGAGAAAGCGAAATGAGCAAGGGTATATAGTTTATACTGTATCATAGGGAAAATGATACTTCCTCACCTGAAAACACTTTATAAAAAATACATTCGAAAGTAAATTATTATCATTTCTGGAAACTTCCCTATTTACGCAAATCATGTCGATACTCGGGCAATCTGCTGCCAGAATACATTTTCCAAAATACTATTCTTTTTTTCTCGATGGGATGCAACCATCATCCTTCAGCCCCCCCCCCCCCCCTACCGTTCTGGTCACATTGTAAATAGTCAAAATAGATTACGCAGAGACACCGTTTCTATGACATTTCACATTTCGTTTAGCTGCACTTTGTTAACTCCCTGGCCAATATTGACATCCCAGAACGCGTCCTACATAATAATCATGATGATGTATCCAGGAAAGGAGACATTTTGCTATTTCCTTTCTGCGTGACCTTAGCATTTTCATTGCATCCCTATCACGAGCAAGATGATGACGATGATTTCTATGGAGGAAAGAATATGTGTTCCGAAAGCTTAGAAAATACTGTGGAACATCCAACCAAACGTTTAGTTTGCATGTTAAGTATTTGAGCTACTTTGCTCTAAGTCTCATGGGTTTGTTAATAGTTTCATGTGCAAGTGCTTGGGAAATTTCTTTGTTGTTGTTGCTGCTGTTGTTTTGTATTGTTATTGTTATTATGGGAACAGTGTAATAGAGTAACATAATTATCAAGCTATTAATGGATGAACGTGAACGTCAATAACGGATTTAACACGTCACTGATTAAGTCTCTCGTAGAAAAGTCAGTACTTACTGTGAGATGTTCTTCCCATCTTTATTTTCTTGGCTAAGCTGTGTGTATTGTTCTTATTCTAGGTTTCCATGATTTTAGAAACTGAGACACTCTTGGAAATGTAAAACACTTTCTCAAGGCTCCGGGAACGATGGGGAATCTAAAAAGCATTCACAGATTTCGAACTAATGTTGTTTTTTAAGTCCTCCTGTCTCCCTCAATTCTCTGTAAACTAAGAGGGATGGTATTAATTAGGCAATTGAAGTTTTAATAGGTGCATCTCTATCCGGAATTAGATAATTACGTCAATAATTAACACAACATGATCAACCAACGTTTCTATAAAGTCATAGGGCTATGTCAAATTCCTCAACTACTTAATGAATAACATGATTAATATACGGTATGTTTTTACTTTTGATTAGAAGCATGGCTGTTTCCTTTTCAAAGACGATAACAGTCACCATTGCTCAGGGGCGTAAATCCGTACCGAGGAGTGGGGGGATGATCGGCGATAGCCATCACATACTAGCAGGAGCACACGCCCACACTAATTTACGCAAGCGCGAGCGATCGCGCACGCACAAACAAACAACACACACACACGCTCGCTCATTAGGGGTGTGTGGGTGATAGGCCTACCGCGCGAAGCGCGGAAGCTTAGACGTTTCCTTAAATTATTAGTAAAAGAAGACGATTTATTGTACCGTTTTCTACTGTTAACCCTTGTCTGAATGAATCCCCCCTCCCGCGTGAAGCGCGAAAGCTTTGGCGTTTCATTAAATTATTATAAAAAGAAGACGATTTGCTGTACCGTTCTCGACTGTAAATCCTTGTCTGAATTCAGTTTCCCCCCCCCGGCCCCCCCCCCCCTCCCGCGCGGAAGTTTTGGCGTTTCATTAAATTATAAGAGAAAGTAGACGATTTGTTAAACCGTGCTCGACTCTTAATCTTTGTCTGAATTCGGTTTACCCCTCCCGCGCAAAGCGCGGAAGTTTTGACGCTTCATTAAATTATTAGAGAAAGCAGACGATTCCTTGTACCGTTTTCGACTCCTAATAAGCCCTATTTATCTGAATTCAGTTTCCCCCTCTCGCGCGAAGCGCGGAAGCCTTGACGTTTCCTTAAATTATTAGAGAAAGCAGACGATTGGGTGTACTGTTCTCGACTCTTAATTCCCGACTGAATTCGGTTTCGCTTTCCCGCGCGAAGCGCGAAAAGCTTAGACGTTTAATTTAATTAATATAGGAAGAAGACGATTCGTTGCACCGTTTTCGACTCTTAATAAGCCATATTTATCTGCATTCAGTTTCCCCCTCTCGCGCGAAGCGCGGAAGCCTTGACGTTTCCTCAAACTATTAGAGAAAGTAGACGATTGAGTGTACACCCACAACAAAAAGTGAGTCATTTGACACATTTAAGCATAATTTTCGTGAGTCAGGTGTAAATTGACTCATTAGTAACAACCAATGAGTCTCTATTGCCTCATTTATAATTCACCAGTGTGTCAATCATGAGCTGACGCATTTGCAAAATGCTTCGACTGACTCACATGGTCGTAAAAAATGAGTCAAGATCGACATAAGAGCATTTTAGAAGAAAAAAGTGAGTCAACTTGAAAGTGAGGCTGTATGCATGCGCGCGCATGCTTTCGTGACGTCATCCAAAATGCGCATTCTCGAGCCATATTTGAATTCCCGATCGACGACGCGACGTCGCCATCTTATATCTTGGATTCAGAAGAGTTTTGACTGCAGCTAGTGAAAAATTGGTACGCATAATTATTCATATGGTTTTAAACGATGATTTTTATGACTGGATTCGTGGGCTGAATCTTCTGATTATTATACAAATGATGCATGC